AACAAAATACTTGTTATTCTTGTTGAAAGACAAAAAATTAATATGTTATTAAATTTTTTACTGAAGTATATAATGGGTTGCTAATACTTCAAATAGTTTAATTTATAGATTGCCTATTCAGCATACAATGAATAAATACGTTTAAATTTGTTTTGTGAGAAATTTTATACGTTATAACGTACGATGTTGTTAACATGTATCCATTTTTTGTAAGTAAAGCATATAAAATGATTGAGATAACTTAAATCTCACTATTTTAAAGTATTTTTGGTAACTCTTTTAATTAATTAGTTAAATAGTGTTCGTATCTAAAAATCTAAAACTTTTAAAAGTCTAATAATAATAACAAGATTATTTTAACATATAATTTTTTTTAGTTAGTATAAAAAGTATTAATATGGTTGCAGGTATCCAGTGGCGCCATCTATCCTAAAGTAATTCAAATATTAACTACTTATTATAGATTAATTTTAATTAATATAATTTTATGTTATGCCATAAAAATAAATTAGAAATCAATTAATAAAAATGATGTAAAAATAAATTAAATTGTTTATTTTTTACTCTTTTTATTGCTAACATTTGACACCTGGCACTAAGACCAGTACGTTATATTACATTTAAGTATAATATGAGATCTATAGAAGGCGCCGTTTAAAATAATTTAAGTAAATGTTATATTATTATAAATTTGTTATTATTTTTATTATAAGAGGTTTGTACTTCTATTCATTTTTTATAAATATTTCTTTGGCATTTTATGTAAATTTGTAGGTCAGATATTTTTAATTCATATTTTATTTTGGATAACATAACAGTATAAAATAGCTTTTTAATTTTAAAAATACTTCAATTTTTAATATATATAAAATAATAAAAAAATCGTTTTAATTAAAAGTAGAGGTTTTTTCATTTGATATGTTTTTTTCTTAAATAATTTAAATCTATTTAAATATTTGAATATTTATATAAAATTAGTTTTATTTAATGCTGTGGTAATGTATATAATGTAAATAATTATATTTTGTTTGTATTTACATACGCTTACTTTCATACCAGTATAAAATAGTTTTCAAATATTAACTCAAAATAAAATTCATTGAAATCGCTTTTATAACAATAATTAGTGATTTTTGTTTTAGACAAATGATCAATACTGTTTGTTTAATGAACATTGTAATAGATCATATTATTTTTCAAAACCCTTTAAATATAATGGTTTGTTTTATAATAAATATTTTCACAAAGTTTTAAAATCGGATAACTCTTGAACAAGTTGAATAAAATACTACCAATAGAAAATATAAAGAAATAGAAAAATCGGAGTTCTATTAGGTCTCAGAACAAAAAATTTTCAAGAATTTAATGTCCATAAAAAGAAGTTATCCAAAAACAACTCTGGAAAGCATCTACAATTTTCAGGTTAATCAGTACTTGTTTGACGCAGTTAACAAGTGTTATCATATTGAATGGTTAAAGTTTACTTGAAGATATGGTGTATGAGAAATGTACTATGTAAACATAGTCCACGACTTAATACAATATAATAGTTTTATACCTACGCTGGTTGTCCTATTTATTTAGTGAACGAATACTTAAGAAAATTCAAGACTGAAGTACTTCAATCATATAAGAAGTATTTACTAAAACCATTTTTGTATAGAGTTTTGATAAAGATTTTTTGGCCATTTTAGTATATTGTATTTCTAATTATTTTTGTTGTATTTAGTTTCAGTGATAAATTTGAATCAACAATATTACTTTATATTTTGATGTTATAGTATTAAAAAAAATGACGCCAATTAAAAAATTCCAATAAGATAGTTTTGAAAATACAAAACCAGATGAAGTAGAAGATATATCAATAAGGAAAAATGAGAAAAGGAATTACAATAACAAAATTTGTTAAATTAGTGAATGAACAAAATGAAAATTATTTACCTTGAGGTGAAGAATAAAGCAACAACTAGAATTTATCAGGAGCTATAGATAATATATACAACGGATGACAACAAGATGGTAATTTGAAAAAAAACGAAATTTTCATGTTAGTTTTATAAAGAAGAGCTTTTAAAAATTCATTACACTTGGTATACAATTTTTGTACATTTCCATGTTATTGTAATAATGGGACTTGTAACGACTCATTTATAATGGAAATTTTTCGTACATTATATTAATTACATTTTGTATTATGTATTATGATTTTTTGCTCTACTGATAATCTGTTTATTGAAACTACAGTGTTGTTATTTAATATACATTCTATCTTTACTTGAAATCTCTCGCATTAGGCCTAGAATATTATAATTAGTAAGTATTATATAATAGTGATTTATTTAGGATATAAGATTAAAAATCATTAAAGAGTCTAGTTCTTATAGGAACTAATGTTGTCGAGGTATAAATTTATTCAATTTTTGCAGTTTATATAATAAACAAATTATTTTATAATGGATTTGTTAGTAATAACAAAATGAGCAATGCGGAATAACGGTGTCTATGAAGTTCTAGATGGAAACTATAATAATATCTTACGAGTTAATTGATTTATTTACTGGTGAAATAAAAAATTATATATGTTGAAAATTGAACCGAAGCTTAATTAATCGTTAGAATAAAAGTAGATAACAAAAATTACAAAGTTAATAAAACTTTGGATTAAAGTGGCTCGATGCAATATTTAATAATATTTTTATTGTATGAAAATCATTGGAAAATATAAGGTACTTCTGTATATAATAAATATTTAAGTAAATAAATATGAATAAAATTGAACTATTTTCAGTAATTTAAAAGATCTAGTAAACGTCATATGAGCGTACATATTTAAGCTAGTAAAGTAAAGCTAGTAAAGATAAAGATAGAAGCTGACAATATTACTGAAATTAGGAGGATGATTAAATATTGATGATTTAGCCATTGAGTTATCTACATTTTTACAGTATATGGGCTTTTATTTAATCTAAAATAATTTATAATTTGACAGGTCGGTTGTTATCAGTTAGTATTATTATTGTTAATTCAACGATTTAATTATAACTGACAATAATTAATTGACATTGAAAATCAAATATATTCGCAAAAAAACTTCAGAATAATTTTGATTGAAAAATTATAGTTACATTGATTATTTACCATATCTATATTACTTTACAAAGACTTCCTTCGAAACTNAAAAATTATAGTTACATTGATTATTTACCATATCTATATTACTTTACAAAGACTTCCTTCGAAACTAAAAATTAAATATTTTTCTATTTTTTTATTGTTTATATTTCATTTTATTCATAATTCATTAATTTAAGTTCAAAATGTATAGATTTGTAAATCAATTATATTATTTAGCATAATCAATAATTTAAATACTTTTTCGAAACTCAGAGCTATTCACAGAAATTATTCAATTATTATCGCATTATGATCAAATTTAAAGTATAAACAACAGTATTGAAGAAAATAGTAATCAAATAAACATTAGAAAAATTTAATTTTAATCATTTCACAAGAGAGTGATCGCTATTGATTAGGTGACTTAAGTCATAAAATAATAGTTTTATCTTATAATTGTCTACTTGAAATATATATTTTTAAGTGAACGTTAAATCTTGTAAAATTCCGATATTGTAGTCTTATCAAGCTCTTAATTATGAAATATGTAAAACTTTTGGTTGTATCGAGTTTTGGGATATTATGAAAAAAAGTAGGAAATTTGTTTTTCTCTGGTGTTTAATACTTAAAATTAATAAAAATATAAGAATAATCAAGGGTTAATTGAAACAATCTTTTAATTTGTGAAATATAATAAACTTGACCATTTCAGTTAAATGTCAATATTATTTTGTCATACCGAGTTTCAGTTGAAATTCATTGTTTTAGTTAAACACCGTTCCGCATTTAAAACAGATCCAATCAGGTATTTTATATAGAAATCGTTAAAAGTTAAATACAAATAATAAAGTTATTGGATGGTTAGTCTTGAAAATCGATTTCCTCTATATTTTCAAAGTCAAATAGTCAATAAAATTTTAGCTAAAAAGTAGCTGAGAACAAATTATAATTTTGCCTAACGACAAATTTTGATAATTTTATCAGTCATTTATTCTTTATTAACTTGAAAACATTCATTGAATATTTTTCTTTTAGGAAAAAATGATTTCTTTAAGGAAAAAGTGATGCATTTTCTTAAGTTAGTTTTTTTTTACTAATTGGACAAAAACCCTTTAATTTAAGACTTGTTTATCTGACTTGAAAATTGGTTTTATTTATTAGAATTTTGAAAAAGGCAGTTCTAATTTTTTAAAATCATTAAAATTTTAATACGATAAAAATTTGATAGACTTGCTTATGGGATCTCTAACATCCCCGTCTATGCACGGACGGGAATTGTAAAAACAAAGTTTAAACCTTTATGACATATCAGTTGTACAAATTATATGAACTTTTATTTAAGATAATAAATAGTAAAAATATATTTGCATCTGATAGTTTGATATGTAGTCTGGATATCACGCTAACCAAGGGGTTGAATTTGAAGATTACCATTATCATTTAATTGATATATTTTGATTACCAGTTTGTAAATAAACATATTATTCGTATATATTGACTAGATATCAATATTTTTAAAATTTACTTCTGATATATTACACGGGTACTTAATATCTGTCAACGACTTGTATGTTGTTACGGTTTTATTTACCCAAATATGTCTTGACATATAGTCACTGTATAAATCATTACTAAATGTAGTCTATTGGGAAATCCCGATTAACTTTAATTATTGTGAAGACTAAAGAAGACCGGTAGCGATTGTACCCGAACAAGCAACGGTGGAAGACAATAATAAATTCGTCAGAGACCGAAGGCTGTAGAGGTGGTAGTGGTGATGAGAATGCATACGGTGCGTTGATTGGTCCATGTACAACGAACCGGTTGTGTCGAGGATTGGCCACAAGTATACGCCCATCGTCTTGTATGCTACTCGACCGGTAATGCCCACGTGCTCTTGTCGTGGCCTTGCACTTCTTCAGTAGTCAATAGCCGGCCGAACGACAATTTACCCGTCAGTATAGCACAACACGAAGCAACACAGTGCATAGTGATCGACCGGTGTGTTTATGTGCAAGTACGCGACGCGTGTGTTTCGAACAAGGCCAATGCCAACTGACTTCAAGTTATTATTCTAAGACAACATGATCAACAGGAGTTTTTAATCTAATGAAAAATTACTCTGAGTTCCAAATGATAGTTTTTTAATATTATCAAAATTTCATTTTTTTCTGTTTTAATTGGGAAATAAAGTGATATTTTAACGGTTCGGTTTGATTAAGCCATTTGTGAACAGATTTCATTTGCAATATGGAGACGTGCGTACTCATACCGAAAGAATTATCGTTACAAGCCGTTCCGGTAGCTGATATTCATCGAGGGTCGAAGAGATTCATGGATCCAGAGATCACAGTGATGACCAATGTGACTATTCCTAGAGGCACAATGATCTATCCCTTTCAAGGCACTGTGAGAATAGATAAATTGGACGTATTTCCGTTCCTAGACGAAACCGACGTAAGTATTTATTAAGATTGAATACGTAATTTAGCTAATAGATTAGATGTCGTTTGGAGATAAATAAATACATGATTTGTTGGTCTAGTGAGCATGACTTTGAATGATTATATTTCATTGTGTAGATGTTGTTTAAGTACTTAACAGCCCGCAAAACTAAAAACTACATAAATATTTTTGACCACTACAACTTTTACATATCTTTTAGATTACCTAACTAGCATTTCTATAAGACGATAAAAAGGAGTTGTTAAAATATTAATTTTTTTTGTAACGTTTATAATATTAAATTATTAATTTTAATTAAAATAATTATTTTAATGGTGTCGGTGTAAGGGTGTGCAACAGTTTTAAATATTTTATAACTTGCACAAAGCTTCGCAATTCATAGAGACGACTCTGTTTTTATGCATTACTTGAATGAACAATAAAACTACAACAAAAAAGAAAAAATCTGGTTAATTTTTAATAGTTAAAGTCAAAATAAACACACTATGTCAAAATAAAAATAAAAACTCAAATTTTGTTCATAAAAGGTGCATCTAAAGTAAAAAGTTTTAAAAAATTTAATATTTTTAATTTTAGAAGAGCAAAATACTGGGTAATTTTATCTAATATTAAAAATTAATATCATTTCTTTTCTTATGTAAATCATTTTAAAATATTTTTAAAACTATAAGTTTTGCGAAAATTTAAATAAAATATTTTATTATTACTCTTTCAATTGTTCATATTTCTCTAAGAACATGAAGTTATTAGTTAGAAATATATTGTGTAACGGCGTTTATAAACAATTGTGGAGACTTCCTGCTACCTTCTTAGAAGTGTTAAGCGCTTTTTGAGAAATAAAAATATGGTTAATGAAAAAACATTTTACAAGTTTTCCAATATTTTATTGTATTAAGGAAATATAGATAATATAAAATTACTTAACAGAATAAATACCATAAGAATAAAATAATACTGTAATTTTAAAATGGAGACTTTAATAGTGGTGTACCAATATGAATACATTCTTTTTCTTTTTCCTTGCCTTAATCCCAACTACTTGGGGTCCACCAATATGTGTACGAATACATTAAAAATATGATATTATATAAATGGCTAATAATGGTGTTCTATAAAACAATTATTTTTTCAAATAAAGATACGTTATATACTGTAAAATAAAATTTCATCTTAGAATATTACTATAACAGTTGTTTATTACTAAATTAGTTTAAATTAGAGATTGTTGTAAGATAAAAAATAACAATATCATTTGCCAATTAATTACAAGGGTCACAAAATTTGTAGCTAATTATGGCAAAATCTTGTTTTAGCTTCTCATAATTCTCATATATGATTATTGTTTTCACGAGTACAGAAATGTTTGCAAGTGAAACTTGTAGGATTACTGTGCGTGTGTCCAAATATTAAACACGCTGAGATATGAACAGGGCCAGTGTATTGTTTCTATTTTATAAAAAAAAACTCATAATTGTTCGTACGTACATGGCCATTAAAAGAAGCGCGCACTTTACTGAAAGTGTTTAACTCTTTTATCTTCTTTTCACACACTAGCATAGTATTACTTTATCCACTGGATTCACTGTGAATTATTATGTGTAGCTTTCAACTCATGTGTGAGTGTGTATGTGTGGTCGTTGTTATTATACTTCCCGTATTACGTTCCCACGACAGCATGTAATATTTTTTGTCTTCTTTATTGTAATCGCGTATATAAATCATAAAATAATAATTACAATTATGTACACAGTACCGTGTTGTGTTGTTAATTTGCCCTGTTCCTGCGTTATTATTATTTTAGGAGAATGCTAACTAGTCGACAATCAAAGGATCATTAACCTCGTTAAAATGACCATTAATCCTCTTCAATACTTAACTTCATGAACATCATTTAATAACAATGTGGTCGATATTATTTTACTCAATGTTTCAAATACTTACCCAATATGGAATATCTCATTAATATTTACTAAATGGAATAAATATTTTATAATCAAGACGAAGATTATGTAACAAGTTTTTCTCTGATACTTTATTAAAAAGTACTACAGAAAATTAAATATGCATGTAATAAAGTGATAAAAAGTTAAATCGTTATACCTTTATTGGTTAGAAGTCTTAATAACATTAAGAAAGCATATTATGCTTTCTTATAGGTTTCATATTATGAAAAATATACTGACCAATGAGTACTTTATGAGCTATGAAATCGTTTAAACATTAAACCCAAAAGTTTGATTATTCCAAGTATCTTTGATAATGTGCTTCTGTATAAACTGAATGTATAGTCACTGGAACTGTTATCCGTTTCCGTGAAGACATCTGATTAAGGTAGATATCATGTATCAGCAAAGGGTAACTCATAAATGTTGGATTTAATAAAAATATTTACGAGTTATTATTTTTCAATTAGATTTAGCTCAAAATACTAGCATGCCAATATGTTATTTTTTACTTGAAAATATTATTTTTAAGGAAAAATGAGTTGATGTGTAATTAGACCTACAGTCATTTTTTCTGTTTTTCTTCAGTTTAGGCTGCTGATTTGTTCTGTGTTGTGATTTATCAAGTATTATTTTGAATAAAGAGTTCCGGTAGCCATTAAAATTTTTCATACCGCAAGAAAATAGTCCAATTACCTCGGTACGGCACATTATTGTGTTGTGTTCGTGTCCATAATATTTTACTACTCCGCCTTCTTCTTACTATTTTTATTATTATTTTTTTGTTATGATACCTACTCGTGTTCTAAATTCGACGAGTGTCGTGTCCTCGTCACTCGCGTGAGCCTAGACCATTGTAGAACTCAACTAAGAAAAAAGCATGTCCAGTGTGAGACTCGATTTTCCACGGTCGGTTCGTGTACACTGTTAGCACGTACCGTCACACCACGTTTATATAGTGTGTTGATAAGAACGCGTATAGATCAGTCACTGAACAAAAATATAGAATTGAAGATGAAAAAATGCTTTACTGCTTCTTTAATAGATCTATGGTATTATTTATTGTATTCATTAGAAAAAAATGGGCTTAGGTTCCTCCAAAATATTTTGTAGTTATTATACGGCTATGTATTTTTTTTTTCGATTTCGTGTAGAAGTGTATAAATTTAACATTATACGGGTTTTAATTTTCATTTAGTGTAATCGATATGGTATTATGACTTCATATTAAGCGTTGTAATTTTGTTTTTAATTTTTGAATCTTCTAGTAATGATTATTGAGTAACCTTGAATTTCGAAATGCTCATTATCTCATCAAAATAAATGTTTTGCTGTGTTGTAACTTTTGTTTTAAACTTATTAAAAGTAGTTTATACATTTAATTTTTTGGCATAAATTATTACGCGAGCTTAAATAATTTTAAAGTAATTTAATTTTATTATAATATTCAAAAGCTTTTTATTGGAATGTGATGGAATTCACTACAGCAAAATTACTATGCGGAGTATTGTTTTTTCGTTGTTAATGAGAGTTCTGTGTTTAGGGTAAATTTCGTATAGTATAACTTAGTACTCGTGCAAAAAATTTGAAATATTGAAAAAACGAACTAACAAAACTATTCAAATTCTAATCGCTGCAAAATTATTTGAAAAAAAAAAAACTATATTCGTAGTATATTTTTCATGGAGTTTTTTTAACGTTTAATTAAAGAGGACTAAATTGTTTGCTTTGTAAATGCACACCGCCAGTGTGATTTCCAAACGCTCTGTAAGAGTGCAACAAAAAAAATCCTGGAAATAATACCAACAAACGAATAGCACCCGAAGTGGAATGCGTTTTTTCGTCGCTTCCAAAAAACACTGCGAACATACTCGAGAGTACATGTTTTTATCACACGGGCATTTTCGCGACGTTACGACGGTATGCGAAAAACGCCGACGATCACTTGTTACATTCGGGCGCGGTACATTGTTATCTCTGAAATTCTGATTTTTTTTGTCGTCTTCATTCGGCGGTTATTTTTTTGGTTGGTGTTAATGGGTTCTTCAACCGTCGTCTGTGAAATTCCACGCGGTATGTGCACCACTATTGTTACATAGGCGGCTTTTTAGATTCGACCGAAAATCGTCTCAAACGCAGACATGTAACATGGTAATTATTTTACAAAACAATAGCGTTCGCCGTTTGGAAACGTATCGTCTCTGTCAATCCGTTTATAATTGGCAAGATGTGGCCGCGTTGTCGCCTGGGTCGAGCTGCCCCGGCGTGCCCATGTGTCGTGCGGCCGTCACGACGGTCACCTCGAACATACAATTCATGTGTTTGTATTGGGGAAATTCTGAACCTCTTGTTTCGCAGCCTCCGCGCAGATAAATCATCCGAGCCGATGACAACGCGTGTAGGGGAAGGGCCAGTGAAGCATGGAAACACGGCCGCACACTTACCAGTGTATGAACTATATACAATGGAGCGCACAAAGAGGCTCCGGAGTGGCCGCATGTTGTAGCGACGACGGTCAAGTTGTGTATGTATGTCGGGCGACGCGTGCGGCTACACAAAAGACCGCGACCACTGCTGCGGCACAAAGCACACGCACGCATATCCCACGTCAGGCCAATCATAAATAGTGGCGTTCCACGAGACCACGCCGCACAGTGGGACCAAACGCTGATTTAGCCGGCCAAAAGTACCATTTTTAAATCAACTAATAAAAATTTTTTTTTTAGCAAATTTTTTTTATTATATCCTTNCAATTTTTACAAAAATACACGTTTATTATAGGGAAATTCTATGTGCAGGGCTCAAATGCAATCTGACGCAAAATTTTTTTTTTTGTAATTGTAGCTTAAGAGTTCTTCTACAACATGCATGTATTGGTGTAATCGTAATATTGCGTAATTTTGAGTTAAACTCTTTAAAAAACAATGTAAAATAAGTATTTGCATTTTTTTGTGTGTAAAAAATTATTAAAATTAAAAAAAAAAAGAAATAAAAATTTTTTCTTAGTAAATTTGAAAGCCGATGACTTTTTAAACATTTTAAATTAAA